ATCCACCCCAGCACTATTCCTTTGGGTTTTACTTCAGAAATCCCAGACGGAATGGGCCCTCCTCACGTTCAAATGATAGCTCCGCATCTGCATTCGAGTCTTATAACATAAAATTAGGAAAACCCTGAATTTGCATCACAAAAAAATTAAAAAAAAATTCCATATGCATACTTTATGAAGCATGTACTATTATACTGAAAATTGAGATATGCATGTTGAACATTTGAACAAGTCCGGAGTACAAAACTTGATTTCAAGCTCAAAATAGTGTAACTAAGGCTTGCTTTGACGTATGACCTTCATAAACAAATCACTCTCTCTAGAATCTATATGTTGCCCACCATGATCATCAATTGTCGTTCTTAGTCTTCGCATTTCACTCTCTGTATCAAACAAATCCCTTTTTGTGGCATCCAGCAGTGATTGCAGATGGGAAGAACACGAAAGCTAAGAGTTAAGAGAGAGCTGAAATTCTGTAATTTGATTCTGTATTTCAAGTATCGCGTCATCCCTTCTCTTTAACTGTTCCCTCAGCTTTTATATAACTTCTCACTAGCTGAAAATATCAGATCCTGATTCGGAGACACATAGCAATTCCGAGCTGTTTGATTGGTGGAATGGCTTCTGAGGCAGCTCAAGACAATCACGAGAAGATGCCCATAAAAAACCATTTTCTTTGCTAAACTCGGGAGCAGGTCGAGTAACTATAAGGCCAAGAAATGTAACAGCTTAAAAATTTCACGATCTTCATAGTTAGAAGCCAGAAAAACCAACATGTCCAAGGATTTTCTTCTCAACATTCAACAGAGGAATACTAATCAGAAAGCTCACAAGAAATACCATAACGACAGACAACAAATTGTTATTGCAGCATATTTTCACCTCTCATATCTTAGTTGGGTTGGGCAGAAGATTTTGAAGCAGATATAAGCAGAAATCTAAGTCATCAACTGCTTAACTGCCCAAATATATGGTGCAAACTATGAGGAACAAAGACTAGAAATTATAATTTTCCCTGTGTGGCCGGTTAACTATGAAGTGCAGAAAAGGACGTGGTGTATTGTTATTGCAGATTGGTACAGGCCAAGGAGAGAGAAGCGAAGTTAATCTGCATATATACTTACCGAAATTCTCTTACGGACATTAAGGGTTGTTCAGTAGTGATTATGATAACTGATTTTTTGATCGTTAGAGAGAAAAGTGGATCCTACCTACGAGTAAAGGAGTCAAAATTGACGGTTGTAATGGTAAAATAATGGTTAAAAAATTATTTTTTTGGGTAAACAATTGCTACCAAACAGAGGCTAAGCCTCTTTTAGTTTGTGTCTAATTTTAGTATGCATTACATAGTAAACTGAGTGCATTTTTTGCGAAGTTTATAATTGCTTAGAGGCCAACAATTTTTGCATACTTTTACTTACTTATTAGTTATAGGACCCATAACTTATTATCTAATAATAAAAGCTTAGCCAAACGTGCTGCAAATCTAGCAGTTATATTTAAAATGAAAATTTAAATAATATAATTCATTTCCTTCATCTGGCATCTTCACAAATATAATTAGACCAATACATTACGCTTCAATCCACGAATCGACCTTTATTGCTATTTTTATTTGTTTTTCATATAAATGAAGCTATGCATCAGCACTTCCAAAACCAGACACTGTTAAAAGATGCACTGAAAAAATTGCAAACTGATTAATGAATTACTAATTAAAATAATAATAATAATAATAAGTTCAAATATATTAAAAAAAAAAAGATTCTAATATTAATTAAAGTTCCATTTTTATTCTCTCCACTTAATTTTTCCAATAACTACAAGGCAATTTGGCAAACAAGAAAAAATTACTCCAACAGCTGTTTTTCTTTATGCTACTAATGAGTACATTCAGTAATGACAGCTACAAGAAACATGGAGCGCGCACGCGCAAACTCAAAAATCATTAAAGACTAGAGGCAAAAAATTCGTGATGCAATACTATATTTACTGAAAAAAACCAAAAAAATTAAACAAAAATGGCATGATTTAGAATACGGAATACATGTAGACGAAAAGCTTGAACTTGTCGTTTAGTCACTTTTTACGTTTTTTTACGTCTAGACTTTGCCCAAGCCTCACTTAGGCCCCCACTTAGGTTCGTAAAAATTTGAAATTTGACCTTATTTCCTAGTCAAAATATATGATTTGTGTTCTAGTTATACTCTTTGTCACTATACGTTGAGTATATTTTTTCTCTCGCTCCTAATTACTCCCTTTCAAATTCTCTACATAAAGGAGATTATGAATTTGTTTTCGAACCCCAAATTGGAAAAGTTCATGTAAAACTTCGTCATCGTCTTCATGAATGTATCCAAAGTGTCGAGGCAAATCTCCTTATCCTTAGTTTAAACATGGGATATGGGTAGGGAAACGGGGAAATTATATCTATATTCGATCGCGGCCTTCAATGCAGACAGTGAAGATGCCTCTTTGAAAGCATAATATTTTTTTTCATATCAAAACTCATATTGTTCAAATCATATTCTAATAATAATGAGATCAGAAGGGAATATCTATATTCATTTAAATGTAATTCACTGTCTCAAATGCATTCATTTTTTATCAACGGATGGACATATACAATTTTCTTGAGTGGATAATCACGAAATTTTAAACTTCAGTCTTTTGCTTGACTCTAATACTATAAACCAATTCGTCTCACAGTTTAAATTGATAGTGAGAAATCATATGGATTTAATTTAATGTTGCTCCGATATGTTTCATATTATTTTATATTTTTAATGTATCATATTACAGTAACGTAATTGTTGACATAATCTTTGACATAATGCTATATGACATCATATTATTGAATTGTTTAAAGCACAATCAACTTTTCCATCTAATTATATCTCGTCAACACTCATTTTGTCAAAGTAGCTGTCAACATTCTTCTGTTAAAGTGGTTGTACCCATTTTTCATTGACATAAAATGATAATAGCATATTATGAGTTAGTTTAATGAATAATCACTCAACTTTGCTAAAGTTACGACTTACTCACCAAAATTTAAAAGGTAACTTTTTGCTCACTGAATTTTGATATATGTTACTATTTGCTCACTGAAATTTAAAGAATTACTTATTGCTTATCCAAATTTGAAAAAAGTTACCCATCAATTACCCATATCATTTCTATTAATGTTACCTATTGCAAATTTTAATGAGTAATGAGTAATTTATTCAAATTTAAGGGATCAATGAACAACTTTTTAAATTTAAATGCAAGTAGTAACATATAACAAAGTTCAATGAGCAACGAATAATTGTTTAAAGATCAGTGAGCAAATAATAACTTATGACAAGGTTTAGTGATCATTCATTAAATTAACTCCACGTATTGCAGTTTATATGCCAATAAGCAATAGTACATGAAAGTAGATAGAACTATACAATATATTTAGCCCCTATTTATTTCTCATTCTTTATCCATTAAAATGAAAAATATGATCGTTATCCATCACATCAAACTACCATATTTGAATTTTTATCTCTTGAGTAGGACCTATAACGGCTATATTTTTCATTCTCATTTTTACGTAAATGGAAAACAAATAGGGCCTTAATGTTTCTACTATCCTTTTTCTTTAATCTATTCCATAAATAATTGAAATTTAGCCTCCCCCCACCCCCGCGCCCAAAAGGAAAAATAAAAATAAAAATAAAAAAAGAAGAAGCAGCAGCAGCAAAGGGTTCAAAAGCCATTCCTTGCCTTGCAGTTGGGCAAGAAGCCAGTGGCTAGAAATTCATGAACATGTACACAGTATAAGTTTATTTTTGGATTGTAAAAATATAGTCTTTAGATGATTAAAGACTATCCTTTAAGATCCATTTTCATTCCCTCCCTAAAACCACCAATTTTCTCTCTAGAACATCACCGGTCATATAATATTTATCCACTAACCACCTTCATTTATGGACCCTCCAGAACCTTTCTCCGCCACCGACTGCGATAACAGGCCATCTCCTAGAAAAAAAACTATAGGGTCCTCGTCTAAGGGTGGCAATGGACCGAGTCGGCTCAGCCCATCTACCCACGAGCTCGGCTTGTTCAAGCACGAGCGGAGCTCAAATTCAGCTTGGCCCATGAACTAGCGAGCCACGAGCCCTTCCTCTCGGCTCGCCTGGTGAGCATGCCCGCTTGGCTCGTGCTCTGGCTCGAGGCTCGTCCAAATACGAGCTCGAGCCACCTTTTTACCAGCCAACAAGCCGATTGGCTCGATTGTCACCCTATCCTCGTCCAATTGCGCTCAAAGTCAATAAAGGCTCGCCCAAGATCAGTAAACCACTAGTTGCGCCGCCACATCACCACCCAACACCACCATAGCAGGTTGAGCGCCGCCGGCCGATTATAATCTACGCGTTTTCACCAAAAAGCCCGTCTAAATTTGTGAAAACTTCAAACTTGACCCTCTTGCTAGTCACATTGTATACTTTTTCAGCCTAACACTTCTTTGACACACAACATTGTTGACAATGTTGTCAAAATACATTGTACAAACGGCATTATCCTAAAAAAATCGTTAATTTCACAAGTATAAAAATCTATGCCATTATTGTTTCGGTGGTGGTTAAAATCAATGACAAAAAATGTTGTCAACTTCATACACTATCAACAAAGCTGTCAATTAAAGTATACCGATAACAAAACTGTTTCTTCATACCTTTGAGAAAGCATTAAAGATTCACAATAGTATGATTGCTCCATCATCCAAAAGTAAAAGGAAGATCTCTAAATTTTTAGTATGTAAAAATATGGTTGTATTATTTTTATTTTTCATTGAGAGCAAATCTTAACTTGTGTTAAAGATATAATTGTTCGCACTGATAAGAGATGTCCACATTTTCGAGAATAGCTAATGATGACGATACTGCACTTTTCATGGCTACCCATATACAAAGTTCGGAACTCATCCGGATAAGATTCAAAGTTCGGTAGTTTTTATCTACAAAAGATGAAACATCTCGCTTTTCTCATAAGCATGCTCTACATCGATTACGTTACAACCACATTGGAGTATACTGTAGCCCATATAGGGTGCTCACATCTTACAAGAATTACGGGAACAAAGGTCATAAACAAAAAAGGACAACAGAATTTAGAAACTTAGAAAGAAACGAAGCATTTCACTTGCTTGAAATTTGTTCAAATGGATTTTTCCACTCCTCCGTCTGATATAAATAACTACACCGAAATATAGGAATTTTGCCTTTAAATAGGGGATGGTTCAGGCCAGTAAACAAATTCCATTTCACCATAGCAGTAAATCTTACATATGTGATGAGATATTTAATCAATCAACGGCCATGGGAGTAATACGCCTCTTTGCAGTCTTATTTGGATTCAGGGTTGTTCTTGTACCTGGTGAGACTTTTTTCTCTAGATTATTCTCGTCTCTCTCTTTTCCAGTGTCCTCTTCTTTCCCTTTTCCACTATGTGAAGCACTGCTATCATCGTGAGTAACTTCCACAATACTGTCATCCAATTTCCGAACCGTGTTCTTATTTTCATGGTCGACTTGCTTCTCTTCTGCTAGATAAAATTTTTATTTAACACTAGTTATAAACCATTACAGACATATAAATTGACAGAAGTGGTAGAGCGAAACAAAAAGAAAAATGCTAACCTCGCAATGAAATGGGTGATCCAAGTTCCTGATTTTCAAATTCCAGAAGAGTGCAGTAACCGTCTTGAGAGGACAGGGCCAAATATTTACCACAAGGTGACCTATATGCACATGTACAAAGACAAATATTTTGAAGGGATAAAGGATAATTAGATAACCAGTCAGAATGTTATATCAAAACTGTCAATGGTTAAAGCAGAAAAAAAACATTACCATGCAATGTCAGTTATGGCTGAATAATGAATTCCGGCTACAATTGCTATTGGCTGAACACTTTCAGTATCATATACATATAAGGAATTCAAAGTGGCCACCGCAAAAATAAGGCGATAGGGGAGCTTGAACAATGAGGCTGCACGAAGGACAGCTTTGTTGTCAAAATGTGGTGAAAGTAATATGCGAATCTTTCCAAAGATTGAAAACAGGAAAAGAAGCTAATACATGTTTCCAATCCCCGCAAATTAAATGTCATTGGGCAAAAGCGTACAGCCACAACAGGTTTACTGGCACCGGGGAGCATGAGAGCAGGTCTGTGTTGAAAAAGAGTAGATAGTAATATGGAAGGGGATTCAATAAAGAATAAGAAGGTCCCCATTGTTAAACATATAAACAGATGCACTCTGATCAAAGTGATCATAGAAATATACAAATTAGGAAGACAGCAATTTCTTGCCTCGAAAGATTTTTCCTTGAAAATACATAAGCAGTATTTACTGATTCGGAAGCAGTTGTAGGCCTGTAAGAACCTGAATAATAAAGCACATCAATAATAATAGCATTAATTAAAAAAAAAAAAAACGACGAGTGTCTATTCAACATGGCACATTATACAACACATCAGTAAAAATAAGATGGTCCAACACCTGGAAACTCTAATATCTTCTCAAGTTTCTTGTTTTATTGCCGGAACAAATTTCAAGTTTAGCACACCAAAGTGATCAAAAGTTGCATATTATAATTACAGTTTCTTTTACAAGAAGTTCTATTAAGTTAGAAAGCCACAGAAATAAAATTAAGAGAACAACATCGACCTACAATTTAAGGTTGGCAAGAATCCCTTCCGATCAATGTTGGAGACCGGAAGATATCGAGAAAGTAAGTACCAACTTTAGCTCACTAAGATGCCTAAAAACCCAAATGATTCCTAGTGCAAATTGTTATACAGGTAAGGGATTCTAGGACTTTTCTAGATAAATCATCTTAAAGCCAAGAAATGCAGATTAATTATAGCCCCTGTTGCTGCAAATAATGGGGAAAAGAAAGATGTGTCCTAAGCGTGTCAAATAAGCATTTCGTGGTTTATACATGCTACCTCAATCAGTAATAATAATGAACAATTTAACCCAAAGATATAAGAGATCAATAACATAGCCTTAGGATGAATTTCGCATACATGTGCCAGGCTTAGATGCAATAAATCTTAGTTTCAAAAGGATCAGATTAAACATAGCAATATAACAAATATCGCATAATAATTAATAATAATGTGCAAAACAGCATAGTGAAATGCAAATAGAAAAGCATACAAATATTAATGGACGTGGATGTCGAGCGGGATAAAGTCATTGAATTAGATTGGACACCCCCACAATACCTGCAGGAACCACTAAGAATGATCCATCAGGAGACCATGCTAATCTTCGAAAGAAAGACGGGAGTGTCTCGTCATGGAAAAGATGACTTCTAGCAGACTGCATCAGACACAATGAAGCTGGTTACATATAAACCGTAAACGTACCTACAGTGCATGCCATGTTAAACAGATAATGACTTTCAAACCTTAGACTCTTCAGACGTCTGTGTTTCTAGCTTTGCAATTACATGCTGACAAACATAATTCGTCTTCTCAACACCTTTCGATTTAGTAGGCTTGTTGACATAAACACGGAGAGTTCTATCTGAACTAAGTGATGCTGCATACTTTTTCAATGGATCCCATGCTACACCTTGAACATAATGGAAATGCCCATCCAAAATCTGATGGACAGAACCTGAACAAATACGGCGAAATCAGGAACTAAAGACACAACGTACTTGATCTCATCTACAGCATTGCATTTATTTCCTCACCTTTGTTAACATCCCATATAATGCAGGAATTATCTACTGATCCAGAAATAAGATATGCACCATCAGTAGACCACTGTAGATCTAGCAAATCCTTGCGATGAAACCTAAAAGTGACTCTAATGAGAATAGGGCTTCAAAAAATTCAAATCTCATATGATATGGAAATTCAGATACGTGCACTGTCAATTAACTTGCTGCAGTTCAGGATGCTGGCTGGCAACAAAATCCGAATTACAAGCAACCATGAGCACATAAACTACTGTCCTTTTACCACTTGAACTTGTTGCGTCATTTTTCACATGCAAGAAATTTATATTAACAACATACAGTTAAGTTTTAGTGACAGGGAGATGACCAGAGGTTATAAAACCTATATTATGCCACAGAAGTAAAAACCTTTGGAATAATGAAAGAAGAGAGAATTAATGGTCTGTACATAATAATAGGTTATTGGGGGATGATATTGATAGCCTGATGGGTCAAGAGTTTCACAGATGGGGACAGAATTAGGAATATTACTCTTGTACCCAATTGATAGAGGCCAGTTTTGCTTTCGAATCGTATAAAGCATGATTGGATCAAAAGATTGGTTGGCAATCTGCCTCACAGACATAGGAAGGAGTTAAAAGTTCAGTATAAATCAACAGTACACTTCATTCATATCAGATGTGATAAGCATTATGTAACGGCCTTGTTCACCACTTGGATCCCATTGAGAATCCAACTGGACAGTAGGAGACACATGAGAGAAGAAAGGTTACTGTCTTGTCAAATTCTCTTTGTTTTATTTTGACTACAATAATCTCAAGTCCCACTACAAGTTGGTGAGATTGGCACCAAATAAACTTTGATATAGCCATCGTGCAATATGAAATTGGAAGAACACAACTAGAGACCATCAGGAGAGGTGTATATAATACAAGCTTACGCTAAAGTCTTGAGGACTTTCCATGCTTTGCCAGCATCAGTAGAATTTAATTTCCATATGAGCAGCTCACCACCTGAATAAAAATATTTAATCTAAAGTAAACAGATTACTTCAGACTGCGTAAAAATGAAAGCTTACTTGGTTAAAGGCATGCCACTAATAATGATGAGTACTTACCATCAGCCCCAGAGGCGAGCTGTTCTCCTGCAATTTTAGAAGACAGTCAACTTTCAATACAATGATAATATGATAGACTCACAAGAAAACTACCTAAAATGACAGTTTATTAGTAGTAAGAAGTGAACTTGATAGAAATGTTAAAAAGGAAGTTAGCTGCTCAGTTGAGCATGACAGCTCTCAGGCAGCAATAACACAACATTTCTAATGACATAATGATAAAGTGTCCCAAGAAATAGGTGAAAATTTTGGATGAATGCATAACCATTGTACCCGACAGAACAGGATGAAAATTGAGCGTAAAAGAAGCTATATGACCTGTAAAGCATTCATGTTTGTTTCTATGCTGGTGGTTCACACATATCTCGTCGCGTCACAAACTCAAGCACTTTCAATATGATAATAATGTTTAGAAGCACATTAGCTTTCCAATAGTAACAATCTATCTGGCTCAAAATACTATCATTTGCAAGAACTGGGTAAACGAAAATCTAATATGTGTGCAAGTGAAATTTCTAAAACTGCAAGTGTCAAAATACCAATTGTGAAACTGAATCGAAAATAATAAACAATGTTTGTCTGCGAGCAATCAGACAACCACCTGGTAGTTCTGAATGGAAGTGTTGAATATATCATGATATCCAGAAAAAGGTAAAGCGGCAATAAAAAACCTGCTACAAGCACATAATGCAAGTGAAAAGAAATGCTAAGGGCACTTGAATGCCAGTTCTGCGGAACTTGAAAATTAATGTGGATGCTGAAATTTAGTGAGAGCATCACATCAACGTTAGTAAAGTGGTTTAATAACTAAACAACATGACAGAAAAACAACTTTTTCACAAGCAACAGCATAGAAACATTACCTGAAGGAGAAAATCGAAGTGCATTGACAGCAGAACTATGATATGAAAGGCTGTTCTGATAGGTTGCTCCTGGAGACTTCTTTTGATCTTCACTGGAATTTATCATCCATAGCTGTAGATATCGCATTCGACATCAACAAAATTCACCAGTATTTACTGTCTCAATTTTAAAGTTAGTTCGATTTTGTATCAACAGTAAACATATTTAGTTCGATTTTGTATCAACAATAAATATATTTACCGATTTCAATCGATACTGATCTGTTCTTGACTAAGGGAATCAAAACTTCACCGGTCATCAAAGGGTGTTATGAAAAGTAAACACAAAGAATTCTACAAAAATAAGTTTTAAAAAATGGCATAATAAACATGACCCAGCAAAAAAATATATAAATCGATTATTTACAATTGCGAGGACTTACGAAGAGAAACCCACCTACAGAACGATATCTATAAAAATAAATTAATAAAGGAATTAGAAAATTTTATTTTATTTTTTTATCAGGACAACGGAGAACCAATATCCTGATTCCTTACCGAAATTTAAAGCACAAAAAATAAAAATAAAAAATAAATCTTCAGAGCAGAGCGTAGTTTGGAACGGTTGTCGAAGGAAAGAAAGTAAACAAACCTTGATGTCAAAGTCGGCGCCACCGGTGCAGAGGAGACCGGAAAGGGGGTGGAAATCGAGGGTTAAAACGGGCTTGGTTTCGTGCCAATTAATCTGTACAGTGCCTCCCTTCATTTCCCCCTATAAATCTGAAATTTGACCACTACTGATTCTACTGCAGATAATAATTGAACGGTGTTCTACTGAATCTTTGGATTTCCAAATTAGGGTTTACTAGGGGACAAAAAATGGGGATTTTAGTTTTTCGCGGGAAATGGAGTCGAAGTGATAGTGGCGGGGAGGAATCGCCTGCCGTGCCTTTTTCTCAAGTAGTCAGCAAAATGGGATTTTTCAAATAAAATCGCACTTCATTTTGAGAATGGAGATGTTCCTGCATTATGCGATTTTAAAGAATCTCTCTCTTTGTGAAATTTTTGTTTTTTCTAAACAAAACTTGTAATTCTCATTAAGATAGGTCACAATGAACAACAGGTAATAGAAAACAGTTAACAATCAGACCAGGGGCGCATAGAGGCACTCAAAACAACAAACAATGAAGTTAATTGATGGACAGCACGAGTCACACTTGATTCCAACATAAGTACAATAATGTCTAATATAACGAGACAATTCGAGAAAAGGAGATTCATTTTTCAAACCATTTACAGCTCTAATAACATCGTACTCTTAAAAATCAACTTGGAGCACCGAATTCCCGCCAAAACAAAGGCTCCTTCGTAAGACTAATGGCTCGGCATCTTCTGGAGAGAAACAACGAGCCACTCTCTTCGCAAAAGTTGCTACAACAATTTCGTAAGTGATATTTGGTCAGAAAAAATGTACGAAAACCATCAGTGAGATCCATTTTCTATAAACATTAAAGGTTGAACGGGAGATTTCAAAATGCATTTTTTGAACATAGAATGAAACATATAGATATCAATTTCTTTATTATCTTTATATATAGTCTAGTGTGTAAAATTGGGTAGGCCTTCCATGCTCAAAGTGGCCAGGTCAAGGTCCACGTGGAAACAACTGTATTTAGTGAAGAAAGTTGGTCGGGTTGATAATTGAAGACTGTAACAATCATTGTACCTTTCATTCATATAAAACTATAATGACTTATAATATGTACATTAGGACTATAATGCATTGATACGAATATTTTTTTAGCACTACCAAAGCCTAACACAGCTCCAACCTAACATAAAGCTACGTGACGTGCTATGAGTCTGATGTGTTCGGTCTATAGCCTGTTGGCGTAGGACCACACCGGCTAGTCTCGTCCGAAGCTCTCCTTAAAACTAGGATGGAGGCCACTTGATATTTGTGAGTATTGAATGAATAATGTTAATAATTAAAATATAATTAATACAACTTGGTAGCGAAGGTGCTTGTAAAATCCTTTCAAAGGATATATGAACTAATAAAAATACAAGTTATCGTTGTTCGTTGAATCGATTCTCTTCTATCAATCACTAATCTCTTAAAAGAGAGGATAATGCATATACTGTTCATTTGTGCACCCATGTTTTCACACTTCACTTTTTGTGCGTTGTTGGTGTTGGAGTCGAACCTTGTTCTCCTCAATTGATGCTTCCAGAATTTGATTTGTGACAAAACCGTGTTTTTTATGAAACACGACTTAATAAGTGATGACAATTTATTAGATGGTCAACACGTGGACTATCTCTAGACGTTGGATTAAGCCGGTTCATCTGCCCTTTGTTAAATGGTGGAGCCTTCTGGAACGTCACATTACACCCCTTCATCTTGCTTTTGTCTCTAAGGTTTTCAGAGAGAAAACTATTGGCGATCTGAGAGACGATCATTTTCTTTGAGTGTTTCATGTGTAAAATCTCTGATTTTACATACAGTATAGTGAGATCTTCCTTCGATTTGTTGTATTCTATGTGAATAGTAAAGAATCTGAGTGATTTCTCTGTTGCATCATTTTAGTGGTGTTCGAAGGTTTTGTGGGCTGAGATCTGAGTGAATCTCTGTAGATCTATCACTATACTTGAGAGATAAGTCTAATTTTCATCTCTCTGAACAATCTGTAAATTTGTTGTCACTTTGGGCTGTTTAGTGCAGCCGAGCATAATCATTAGTGTACGTCTATTTTTTTTTAAAAACTTATATGTAATGATAACTTGTATCAATTGTTTGACCGATTATTGTTTGTGATCTTTACCCGTTTTTTCACACTGTATTCCTTTTCGGTATCTTTAAGATATTCAATACGCTGGCATTACCTTAAAAATAACACAGTCCTTGCATTACATGAGCAAAAGGCTAGTATTCTAAATAAGCCATTGGAATTTTTTTGCTTAATTAAACAACTTATAGTCAGTGTTCTAAAAGGCGTAATGTATGGCAATGCATTGACCCCAAGCTAGGGGATAGGCGAGGCAAATGCGTAAAAAAGCTTTAAAAAGTGTTTTGCTTATTTTAATATTATTTTAAATTTTTAATCAAAAAATTTATTTAATAATTATTAATTATAAATACTAAACATCCAAAACAGATTTATAGGAACTTTACACGTTTCTTTTTTTCAATTTTTTCAACAAAAAGATAAGTTCCAAATTTAAACAAATATAGCATAAGAACTTAAATCATATCCAACTCTTTATCAGACTCCAATTCAATATCATCATCTTCATCTAATTCGTCCTCCGTGTCGTCTAATACAAAATCCTCGCCGTCTAGCTCCCTTATATCATTCTAAGCATTTCTATCCCACTATGGACTCCACTGTGAATTAACCAATGCCTCTTTCATTAGCCATAAGGCCCACAACTCCATTAACTCACTCGAGAAATCTCACCGTCTCTTTCATTTTTTATTTTCTGTACTTTTATAAACCCTTCCCTATGGAGACAATATTATAAAGTATAAACTCACTATCAAAAAGGCAAAAACACAAAACAACGGTTGGAAGAGAGTTGAAGACGATCGAGCAAGCAAGCAACAGTTAATTTTTAGTTGGAAACTGGAAATTCTTCAACATGCATTGATTTCCCATTTTTCGCCTGACTTACCGACATATAGAAACTGGAAATTGTTTGTTGAAGACGACCAAGCAGGCAACCATTGTAAGAGAGTGTCGAGATGCTGTAGTCGGAGAGGAATTTTTGGGAGCTTCGGGAGGTTGTCTTCACTCTTCAATTAAGGCACTGAAAAAGGAAAATTGGGCTTTAATTTTTAGTTAAAAACTTAAAAGAAGCGTGATTTAAAAAAAAAAAAAAAAAGAAAGAAAGAAAGAAAAAGAAAAGGCAGTAATGCGCACCTTGGCACAATTATTCGCGCAAAGGCATGAATTAGAGATCAACAGTTTGCGTTGACCACTAAATTACATGTCTACCCCCTTTGCTTGGCGTTTTCAGTGTGCGTCGCACCTAGGTGGTGCTTAGGCATACATTTTAGAACACTGCTTATAGTATAATAATAGTGAACTTTACCTATTCGGGGACAAAATACTAAAGAAACCACACTTTATGTGTCATAATTATATTTTTTGTCATCATACGTTGAATATTGTATATTTCTGGTTCTTAATCCCCACCTTACAAATTTCCTACATAAGGGAGACTGTTAACTTGTTCCAGTGTCTGAGATTGTGAAAGTTCATATATAACTTCATCATCGTTTCCGTGAATGTATTCAAAAGCGTCCAAGCATATTTCGTTACCCTTAAGTAGAAAGATGGTTCGTCCACTCTAACTTTGCTCTGAACATGCTTGCAAAGTGAAATCTACTGTCCTTTCAATCAAATTTGACACATCACCATAATTTTGAAGTGTCAAAATTTTAGTAGAGCATCTTTTTTTATGTTTCTTAAAGGCTGAATTGTTTCCCATTAAAATTTGACACTTCAAAATTATGGCAGCATTCTTAAATATTGTCGAGGAGACAGTCAATGGTATAATGTAAGGAGATGGGACATTAGATCTGGATTCAACAGCGACCTTCAGTACAGACACTGAAGATGCCTCTTTAAAGGCATCATATTTTTTCAGAATTGATCTCAAGCGAAGCACTTTGTCTATGGACATTATAGAAAGGATAGAATATAACCCTAATAGTTCTTCTCAAATGTTATTCATTTGAATGTTATCTTTGACTTGCCGTCTCAAGTGCATTCATTTTTTATCAATGGATGGACAAGTTATAATTTTCAAGGAAATTACAGCAGTGGTCCCTCACTTTTATTTACAGACTTTACCCTAACCTTCATTTTGTGCAGCGAAGATCCCTAACCTTTCATAAATATGCATCTAAGGTCTATCTGAAAAAAAACCATCCAAAAATCGTTAGTTGACTAGAAAAAATCCTTGAACTATCTGTTACCGCGACGATTTTTGACGGTGTTTTGGACGGTTTCCGTTCAGACGAACCTCAAATGCATATTTATGAAAAGTTAGAAACTTTCGCTGGTACAAAATAAAGGTAAGGGTAAAGTCTGCAAAAAATGAAAAATGTTAGGAACCGCTGTTGCAATTTTCTCTAATTTTCATGTATGGATAATAATGAAATTCAAATTTAAGTGTTTTACTTGGCTCTAATACTACAAATCAATTCATCTTAAAGTTTAAGTTGCTACAAAGATATTACATGTATTTAGTTTCCCATTATTTTCGATATGTTTCATTTCATTTTTCAAATTTTACTAATATAAAATGACGATCACGTTTTGCACTTTATCTCTAACACGCAGTAGTAGATAGAAGTAGATAGAACTACACAATATATTTTAAGTTCTTACTTTCTTTTTTCTTTAATATAATTCAACATTATCTAATTTACTTTAACAAACCCCGTAAAATTAATTAAATTAAATTTAGCCCCAAAATTTTTTTAAAAGTCCAAAAGCCATTCCTTGCCTTGCAGTTGGGCAGAAAGCAACTGGCTAGAAATTCATGCACATGTGCACAGTAACCTTTATTTTTGTTATTGTAAAAATATTATCTTTACATGACTAAACAATAAAGACCATCCATTAAGATCCATTTTCATTTTCTCTCTCTAAAAACACCTCTTTTCTCTCTCTATAACATCACCGGTGATCTTTATAATCGGCCAACCAACTTCATTTATGGACCCTCAAGAACCTTTCTCCAGCGTCGGCGGCGGTAATAGGCCATCTCCTAGAAAAGAACTACTGGGTCCACGTCCAACTGCGCTCAAAGTCAGTAAATCCTCGCACAAGATCAGTAAACCACCAGTTGCGCCGCCACATCACCAACCAGCACCTCAAATAGCTCAGCCTCCACCGCAGCAGGTCGAGGACCGCCAGCCGGTGATAATCTATGCGGTTTCACCAAAAGTCCACCACACCACCGTCGGCGACTTTATGGACTTGGTTCAAAGACTCACAGGCAATACCACCACCACCGATTCTACTTCTGCATCCGCCTCCACCTCCTTCACCGCCGATTGTGTCTCTCCGGCAGCCAGGCTAGCATCCATAGAGAAAACAAGTCCTTCTGAAAGGCAAAGAGAGAGAGAATTCACAGTAGATAATATTATGGATATTCTTGAAGACACTAATCTTGACGTGGGCCAAGCTCCTGGAATATTATCTCCGGCACCGGCAACTCTGCCACCCATATCGCCAGGATTCTTCTCTCCGGCTCCGATGGATCCGTTTATGTTGGGGTACAACATGTTCATACCAAGCCCATCAACCTTGTTTTCAGCTCCAATGGTGTCTCCTTCACCCTCTTCTTCTTTCGATCTCTTCAATCCATTTGACTTTTAGCCAATAGAAAGTCATTTTTCCAATTTTTTATTTTTATTTTTATTTTTTTTAATTTCTAATTATTTGATGCGTGCTTTTCTAGAGAAATTTTCTAGAGAGAGAAGATATGCTTTGTGGAAAATTGAAACTAGAGGTGGAGGTGGGGTAGACCAATTTTTTATTTATTTTGTATTTTTTTGGTTTTATAACAGATTAATTTGTTAGGATACATGTATTTTGACCTAACTATCTAATGTTAAGCATTTGATTTTTCTTTCAAGAGAAGTCGTCCGTCAACTTTGGTATACTAATCGTTTTCATATTAAATGGTTATTTTAATGAGAAAATTATGTAATGGACCACAATTACTTGTCTAATTTTGCAAGTATACTATAGAGTGGTTACTAAAATATCGTTTTTTAGATGACTTTTAACTTAAAGTCGGTCTATATGTACAGGAGAAAAATTTATAGAAGTGTTACGTATTACACATAACAATAGGTGCGTAGTTTATCTTATGCGATAAAATATTTACATGGGCTCACCCCAATGTGAGAGTCCTATAAAATTTCTGTGAAATTCTACCCTGTACACGTAGAATAATACTTTAACTTATTACGTAATAAAAAAGATTAATTTTAGTTTTATTTGAATAATGAATTTTTTAAGGTTGAATGATTAATCTAAGTGGAACCGATTGCTCGAGCAATTATTGGTCTCACTTGAGTTTTTGTCTGATTAAAGGCATGTAGACGCCAAAACATGCCATTGTTGTCTGACACAAGCTTTTTAGAATAGAAGATGAAGTCAAAGTTCTAACTCTACCTCTTAATGAAAGGATTGATTTTGTTTAAGGTGTGTTTGATAGGAGTGGAATTTCAGGGAAAATGGAATTGAAATTCCAATTTTTCAATTTTTAGATGTTTGATTGACAAAAATTTTCAAGGAATTCATTTTCCACATTTTGGTGCCACATGGACTTTTTCCTTCTTTTGGAGGAAAATTGGTGAGAATTCATTTTCCGATTTATTGTAGCAACTTTTTTTTTTCAGTTATTTTTATTTTTATTTTTTGTTAGCAATGGAAACAAATTTTAAGAATTGTTGTAAAAAAATATTCCCCTTTACTTGACAATTTTCATGTAAAACAAAGCTAAACGAACACCAAAAGATAGATGATTTCTTGAATTTTTTTTTTTTTTTTAAAACCAAATGAACACCAAAAGATAGATGATTTTCTTTAATTTTTTTATTATTTTTTTTTGCTATGGAAACAAATTTCATCCCCAATACCAATAAAATATATCCCTTTAATTGACAATTTTCATGCAAAACAAAACTAAACGAACAGCAAAAAACACTTTTATATCAACATTTTCCACATAGAAAATTATACCAATAAAACACAATAATTTACAATTCATAGAAAAATAATTTCTAGACAATTCAATTCCCTGAAATTCGTTTTCAATTCAATTCAATTCCATCTTTACAAACGAACTTAGTTCTTTCGATTTTTAAACATAGAAACGTAAAA